ATATATATATATATATATATATATATATATATATATATATATATATATATATATATATATATATATATATATATATATATATATATATATAGTAACGCAGACACCTACAAGGCAATCTTGTAAACCTGTTAATGTTTTCCTTTTTTTCATGCATGCACGTCACAGCAAAACATGCAGCAGCTTGGCCACTGAAACCCTCTACTCTACGTTTGAGATACCTACACGTTTGGTCTGTTCCATTTCTAGACAGACAAGTATGTTGACATGATGGAACGAAGCAAAGAATTAACAAGACAGAACCATATCTTGAATAGAGAGGTGACATTCTTAACGAAAGAACTGCAAGACGAAACGAGCGCGAAGGAAACTCAAAGGCAAGAAATGGAGAAGGAAAACAGTGAGATGAAAAGTAAGATTGGACAACAAGCGTCCATTATAGCGACTTTGGAAGCAGATAATGCACGAATCGTGAACGAACAGAAGTTGCATTTGAAGAAAAGTGATATGATGAGAAATATAAAATTATTGAACGATGCTCTGGCAGCGAAAAAGTTACCGGAAGAGAAACATATGGTGAGATGACAGCCTGTTAAGGCGGATTTCCATTCAGTGGAAAAAGTCAGTCAACCTCATCCGTTGCGCTTGGTCGCTTGTATTTCAAAAGAAAGTGGTCGCAAAAAGTCGATCGCGCGACTTTTTCCACTGAATGGAACTGATCCACCTTTAAGGCAATTTTCCATTGCAGTCGCTTTGCCCGGCCGCGCGGGGGAAGCGGGCTTTGAAAATCTGCTCACGCGGGCGTCACGGGCTTCAAAAACAATGTACGCTTCGTCCGCGCGGACAAAGCGAAAGACACAAGAAAGGAAGGGAGAGGGCATTTCTTTACTTGGTGCGTGTTAATTTCAATACAATTAAACTTTACGTGGCTTCGGCATTTCGACTTAACAAGATCTCTAACAAAATTTTTGCGATTTCGTTGAACCACAGGGATATTATAAGATGTTGGAGTTATCTCTAGCGTTTTGGTGACAGGGGACCCTGGGGTTGCGATAGTGTACGGTGGACAAAGTCCAGATAATTCAGCCAGTCTTTCCGACTGGTTCGTGAACGAAAAAACGTATACTGACTGTTCTTCCCTGTTATGTTCTTTCCAGTCAAAGGTGGGCTCGGTCCCGGCTTTTTCTTTGTTTTGGGCAAATCAATTAAAGGGATGTGACCCAACCAATCTAAAGGCTGATTCCGCTGTTTCGATCGGCTTATAAGAATAGTTTCTCTAACCACAGGAAAATCGATTAAGGGGAGATTGATGGCATTCGCCGTCATTCTAGCATCTGTTGTCTTCATGGTAGATGTTTGTGAAATATTTTGCTTAGCAGACTTGAGAGTACAAGATGCCTTGTGCTTTCCCTCTAAGAGAGGCAGTTTTCCTAACCAATTTTCTGGATTATTTTTTGATACCGCAAGAGACATGGTCGTGAGGGCCTTCAGGGTTGTTATAGCAGGCACTGGGATATTTTGCAAAGACGAGTTAGAGTCAGAGACATGAGATTTACCATTATTCAGCCTAATATCAGTGTTATTCTCGTGCCTTGTACTCGTAGTCTCGACATCTTCCCAATATAGCCACCTCTATAATAGACACTTCTCTAATACGAATATCATTCTAATACGGACACGTACTTCTCTAATACGGACACCTCTCTAATACGGACACCTCTCTAATACAAACATCTATATTATACGAACATATCTCTGATAGTGTAATCTCTCAATAATATGGACATTTCTCTAATACGAACATCTCTCCAATACGGTTATCACTCTAATATCGACACTTCACTAATTTGGACTAATACTGACTCATTCGAACACGAATACCTCTTTAATATGGACACCTCCACTATTGCACATCGAGGTCTTCTTTGATACGGCCACCAGATATTAAATATCAGCTGCAGAGACAATGACAGTCTTTTGATGGGAGTTTTCGCTAAGCGCACAGTTAATATCTAATCAAATCTCATCAACTCTTATTCTCGTTTGACCAGGGCACGAGAGTTATGAAACCTCTCGATTGTCAACTGTCAACATATTTTCACGTTTGACTCAGACTTGAAGCTATGATGATTAAAGCTTGAATATTACTGGCTGGATATTACTGGCTGGATATTACTGGTCAAACAAGAAAACTCTCATCAACTCTTATCAAAAATTGAGCCAGAATTTTGTGAGAGAAAGGGACAACGGGGAAACCACAACCCGCAAAATGCAGGCTCTTTGCCTGCTTTACAACACTGAGCTATATATTTACATATGCAATGCTATAATGTACGTTGCTCTCCAATAAAACACGGGGTGGGCTCCCTTGGGGGTGGAGGAAACACCTCAAAGCACAAGAGACCCAACTACAACACTCTACTTACTTACGAGAAAAGAGTAAGAAAATTCCAAAACATTGTTCTCTTAAGGTGGCCATGACAATGATCGAAAAGACACTGGAAGTGACAGGAGCACGTCTCGCATGTCTGGTGAGGAAATACATACTTCATAAAAGTTGGAAGAAGATATGTGAAGCTATGAAAGAACATAATAAAAGTCTCAAGAAGAGACCGCGTAAAGTTGAGATATATCTGCAGAAAATGGAGCAAAGAATAGCTGAGGTAAAATACAATAAAAGTTTAAACGTGGAGGTCCATAGCTGGAGGGCTTGTGCACCCTCCATTGACACTCAAGAGTAGCTCAGATTGAACCTCGTCCACTCATTGATAGCCTGTGTACAGACCTTACTCTCGACGAAGCGCGCGAGAGAACGTCTGTGAGTTGGATGAAGATTCCTTGTTCTGGTCACGTGCATTTCCCCCAGATTTGGGGAAAGGTCTCTGATTGGACAGTGCTTTATTTGAATAATTTATGACAAGTGAAGATATTTCATTTTCATTGGTTAATTGATAATTGACATGCATTTAAAATAACGACACAAAAATTCTAAATTCACAGATTTCCTCAAGAAATCAAGATTTTCTTCGGGCATAATATAATCTGAAAAACGATACACCAGAAATATATTGCATATATTTCTCGATGAAGTTGACAGATTGTCAATTTATTAAATTGTTCAATTAGTCAATCATAAATTAACAATTTCCGTCGGATAGTTTGTTGTATTTTATATATTTGTCAGCATTGTTCGCTAAGTGTCCAAACACTAGAATTTAATCTTGGTTTTCTTAACTTCGATACAGCACAAAATTAAACGCAACGCCAACAGATTATACTTTCAAGTCTTTCAAACCTTTGTATGCCCCGAAAGGAAATCTTCTTGATTCTTGAGGAAATCTCTAAATTTAAAATTTTTGTGTTGTTATTTTAAAGCATGCTAATTATCAATTAACCAATGAAATAGCTTCATTTGTCATAAATTATTCAAATAAAGCACTGTCCAATCAGAGGCCTTTCTCCAAATCTGGGGAGAATCCACGTGACCAGAACAAGGAATCTTCATCCAACTCTCAGACGTTCTCTCGCGCGCTTCGTTGAGAGTAACGTCTGTACACAGGCTACTCATTGAGTGAGCTTCCAGAATACGAGCGTTAGATGCTATCCATACTTATCCATCCAATTAGAATAGTTTTGTAAGCAAATGGGAATAAGGATTGTATAGTTATTTGACGATCTATATGATTATGTATATTATAGTTCTAACTATTTTAGTAGTAAAATTTAATCATGTATCATAATTCTTAATGCTAAGTCACTCTTTGTAAAGTTAGGCAATTCAGTTTTTACTGCAATGTAACTGCCTTTTAAATTGATAAATCAATAAATCACCATAATCAAATTTTGTAAATTGTATTTTCCAGGAAAAGAAGAAACTAGTTGAACGGAAAGCAGAAGTATTGCAAAAGAAAACAGAAATGTACATGCATTTCAAACTCATGTAGGTATCCAATATTTGACGTGTACGACATTAGTTCAGGGTGGTGAGTTTTAGATTCGACATTTGTTACCGCTACAATTAAGGGATCAGTAATAACCAATTAGATGGCTTCAATTTACCCGATTAACCAATCACATGCGTGTTTAGTCAGAGAAAGGTTGTGATATTAGAAGTCAAATCTAAACCTCACTAATATTACAGTATGGTACTTTTTTGTCTTCAGCTAACAACTACCACGTAGGTACGCGAACTGTCGTTTTCTGCCCTACCAACTTTTTGCTGGTACCTTTCCAAGCTCAAGGGTATTCAAAACCATAATTTAGTCGGTATTATGTGTACGTTTGACATAAAACATGATTGGACTAACAGGACTAAGGAATGTTGGAGTCGATTGTATTGTTTGTATATGCAATCGTGCTTGTTCTAGAAATACTTTGGATACCTTTCAGAAACCTGCATTGTATGTACTAAGTACACACTGGGTATCATTGGCCTACCAGTCAGGTACGACGAAATAATAATCTTGAATTATCAGCAACTTGTAGCAGATGACTGGAAAACTGCCCAGTACCTAATTCAAGGTGCAGCAATTGAGCAATATTCAAGGATTTTAGTTGCACCATACTGGTACTCCAATGATTATTACCACGTACTTGAGCAGGTAAAATTTGGTCACGATAAAGTACATCATTAGTTACAGTTTTGTAGAAGACATTTATCCAGTAGCCTGAAACTATGAGTTGGAAAAAAGAGGAGCAAAATTGCAAATGCAAACTCTAAAATTGACTCCTTAGTACAATCTCAACCTACCCTCTAAAAATACTGGTCACAATATCCTGGTTAACCCAAAAAACACTGTTTGGGTTAACTTAATATTCTTGGTTCAATTTCCTGTTTATTGTATATCACTTCCTACCATAGTCTGGTTAATGTAACCAGGTTATATGAGATCAGGGCTTGCTGGTTAAATTAACTATGTTAGGTACAATAGGTAGATAAATAACCAGGAAGTCCTGGACAAATAAACTACTGTGGAAATTGAACCAGGTATAATAAATTAACCCAAACAGGGTTAGTTCTAGGTTAACCAGAAAAAAATTAAACTAACCAGATTGTTTTCAGACTGTATCAGTCGAATCATGTTTCATGCCATGTCCGAGATACGATTTTGAATACTTCCGAAAAGGTCGGTCATATGGTAACACGAAAGGGTACAGTAAGGTTGAAAACAGGACCAGACCGTATTGGCGTACCTTGTGTTCGTAAGTACGCGAATTATCGCAGCGTTATTGACCAATTACGAGGGGACACGTAATCCTAGCTCATTGGAGGTAGAATATGGAATTGAATGTTAAAATTAAAGATTTTGCTTGCGACTTTGACATATATAAGTGAATCTCTTTGGATGGTGCCTCCTGGCAATTTTGCATTCAATTCTTTTTATTTCTGATGGCTAACACTGACACGAAACTACGTAATAGATTGACATTTCAGTGCTAGCCAAAAAAGTTATTTTAGCGCCGATGCTCCTGGATAACAATTAGTCAACGATGGAAGAAATTTTCGGAAGAAGTGGAGAATGTGCAGACTTTCACAAGCTGTTCAAAAGGCATCCGCATGGTATTAATGCTGATCAGCCATCCAATACCTGTCCTTTTCAAATCTCCATCCAAATTTCAAAACAACCATCCAAAAGATCATATGTGGAAGGGTAGCCGGCTTCCAAGAAATACATCTCTACGACACTACGACACCTGTCAAGACAAAATGTGCTAAAGAAGACTGAGGGGTGAAAGGGGGGGGGGGAGAAACCACTTTCATCATATGAATCATGTTCTTTTTTCCAGGTGTAACGAATTAAATAAAGAACATGGTGTCCATCTCATCCGACCACATGTCCAGAAAGTACATTCCAGTCCCTCTGTTTCAAAAATACTTCCCGACCAAGAATCAATAATACACAAGAAACGACAAGATCACTTGAAGAAAATGTTAAGCAGACGAATTGGTAACCTTGGAAGCTTGAGTGGCGGTGTTAAAGGATTTAAGTTTTTTGTTCCTGAAGAAACTGACACAACTTCTTGGCAGGTAAGCAAGTGTACACATAGGGATGTGTCGGATCATACTGTTTTGCAGGATAACGGATGGTACCGGGTAGTAGTCAGCCGGAATACTAATGGTGCTACATGGACAATACTTCCCCACAACACAATCCATTGTTTAACTATGTGCTTTATCTAATATCTGTGGCAAAGGGGACTGTAGGTAATCTAGCTGGAGCAGAAAGCAGTCTAGATCTCGAAAATATTTTCTGCACGATTTCTTAACACACAGAACTGAAGAAACGGTTTAATGGTTCTAAAACTTCTAATAGAGGTTCAAATTTAACTTCCACTACCTCTCACTGGCTTATTACACATCTGATTGGTTGATCGGATAAATCAAACGCATCTGATTGGCTACTGATCCCTTAATGGTTATGGACGTCAAATCTGAACCTCGCTAATAAAAGTCCCAGTACTGTCCAATAAATATCCACCCAAAATTTGCCCGGGTACCCGACAGTGCCAGATATCTATTTTTACCGGATACCATTTAACAATTATTCGCCGAAGGCGAGGTGATTATCTGGGAATATTCACTGAGACGAATTTCGCTTTTTTCTTTATCAGTAACTTCCACAAAACGGCTAGCAGCCATTTTGAAAATTTCGGTGTTGTTATATTCACTTGTAGGCGAATATAACAACTTAATTAATACGTCAAATTTGACCAATCAACTTGTAGGATTTGTTATATTCGCTTGTGCAAAAAATACTAAATATGCATTATCCGGACTCGACATACCCCTATATTACTACAGTAAAAATCCTACCATTAGGTAAGGGCTTTTCAACAGAGAATTTCATCTTAGAGTCATAGAGTATCTGAGCGCCATATAATTACAGTATATATTCTATCAAGCCCTCTGAAGGGCTTTTTTATTGAAGACCAGGCATTTAGCCAACCGTCCGACTCCTATGGACGGCCAGGAAAATCGAATATCGAAAAGGTTGTCTACTTTATCTATTGCATAAGTGTCCATTCTTTTTTCCTCACAATAACACTTGATTATGAGTATATATGACAATTAATTATTGATTTCAAGTGCTACGTTTTTCGAACATGTCCACAAAAACAGGTTGCCACATCCACGGTATTTTTTGGACGGCCAGTTTTTCAAATTCTGATGAAAACTCTGTTTCAGGCATGTTCGTGAGAGGGGGCTTAGTAAAGAGGAGGCATTAATAGAGTAACGCCCGTATTCTAGAAGCTCCCTCACACTCACCCTCAATGAGTGGAGGTTCAATCTGAGCTACTCTTGAGTGTCAATGCTGTTTTTGAATAGCCGCATGGAGGGTTAGTGTCGTACCTTACTATGTGACTATTCACAGCTATTCAAAAACAGCATTGGCACTCAAGAAAAGCTCAGATTGAACTCATTGAGTGTGAGTGAGCTTTTAGAGTACGGGCGTAAGGGTTTATTTGCTTACATAACACGCACTATACATTATTTGTTGGAAGTGCAGTATGTAAAATTTAGCCAAATTAACCCTTTAACTGACATTGCGCCCTAATGTGACCTACTATATATGTCATGTTACTTTTGACTCTAACGGCAGACCATTTTTCTCCTCAAAGAATATCTGGCACTCAATGGCTTTATATAAGCATGCCCATTGGCTTTGTTAATAATAGACTGATCAGAACACACGTGTTTCCTCGTGGTGAAGGGAGGGGGCATATTTTACAGGGAGCTTTATGGAATATATATTATCAACAACATTATAATTGTGCTTTTTTTGTATTTTAGTTTCCAGCAATCGAGACAACACAAAGTTCTATTGTTACACCAAAAATTCTTGATATGGATATGAAGAAAGCAAGAGAAAGCTATCAGCGGTAAGTGACTAACGCCCGTATTCTAAAAGCTCACTCACACTCAATGAGTGGAAGTTCAATCTGAGCTTCTCTCGAGTGTCATTGCTGTTTTTGAATAGCTGGAGGGCTAGTGTCATACCTTACTATGTGACTACTCACCCTCCAGCTATCCAAAAACAGCATTGACACTCAACAGAAGCTCAGATTGAACCGGTTTCACACATTGAGTGTGAGTGAGCTTTTAGAATACACCACCACAAGCTGCCCCCTGTTAAAATCTGCATTACCTGCATACTGTATATTGTAAACTGGGTGCTAATGCCGACATTCATAAAAATACGTTTTCAGAAATCTTAAAATAATCTTGATAGCATTATAGCATACATACTCCAGTCCAGACTCCAGAGCATATTGGATATTGTTGAATAGCTTCAGCACTTTGTTCAATCATTTGGTATCCTACTGTAGTTTACATCTCCACCAGGAAGTGATTCGTTTTCATTCACGTTTGTGTGCGTGTCTATATATGTTTGACTGTCAGCACTTATAAAATATTTCAAATGTGAGTCACAGCAACACTAAAATTTGCGAGATTAGATCAGTGCGCACAACGCGACACGAAATTTAGAGCTATATGAAAGTTGCATGCCCACATGCAACAAAAATACTTCGCTAAACCTTAATTATCTGCTATCATTCCTTTGCATTCACTGTGCAATGTAGCGTAATTCGGGGCAAAACGAGACGCTTAAGCAGTCATATATAAAAAAGAAAGGAAACATATTTAAACACTTTTTCATCATTGAAAGGTTAAGCAGATTCTAGTGAACCAATTCAGTGCAAAAAACTGTTCTTCAGGTAATATTGTGGCATTTATTCAAGTAAAATAACCGGAAGTAAATGTCTCATAATGGGGGGTTGACAAAACGTGGACCCCCCTTTCTGGACCCCTAATCTGGACTTTAATGGTAGGATAAAAACTAAGGTTAATTTTAAAAATACATTATGAAAGTGGATCCCAATCTTGACCTTTTAAAAATAAACAGACCAGATTGTAGGACACAACCTGAACCGATTTGGATTTCAATATCACGATGTCGATTAAATTCATTTAGCTTTTTTCGACTTTCTGAATCCTCAATCCTGTTCAATGTCCTGATCATTTCAGTCAGCGGCAATCGTATCGTCATAGGAAGGCACTTCATCTTGCTTCAAAATGTCCAATTCCCTACTCCTAGGAGACACCTTGAAGTCAAATGCCTGGGGGATGGTGATGTTTCGAAATGATCGAACATTATATAATGTCGTACATTAATGCTAGGGCATTGCTGGGCAACATAGTTATTCCAATTAGAAATATCTTACTGCAATGGTTTTCTTGTTTCATGTTCTTTTGAATAGGGACAAGTACTTTCAGTAAACTGCATGTGGTTTTTGTGACCTTGTAAAATACTGTGTAATGACATTGTCAATGTAGTGGCGGGTTGCTATAAATCGGCAATTTACCCCGCTGCATTTATAGCAAAAAATGTCAACAAATGTTGCCTTAATTCCAATTTATTGCGAATAAGCCATGCCTAGAGCCGCTACGCAGGCTAGCCATGTCTTGTGGCCGAATTATGGGTCACTGCTGAAGCCATCTCAACAAATGACGGACGGTGACGGGACTGCTTACAGTTGCATATGTAATGTTTTCTTAATTTGCATGTTTTCTTTTGGTTTTTAAAATTCCAGAAAGGGGTCCAGAATGGGGTCCAGAAAGGGGTCCAGAAGGGGGGTCCACGTTTTGTCAACCCCCCTCATAATGAGACAGATATTAAATATACAGAAATTTTTAAAAATTTGAAATTATTTTAATGGTAGGATAAAAACTAAGGTTAATTTTAAAAATACATTATGAAAGTGGATAAAAGTTTATCTAACAGTCATAGCAAATGTCACATATTACAGTTGTCGGTGTCACAGAGCAACAACAATCTTCATGCAAACACTTTTCACACTTGCAGCAATTTCGATCCAATCCTCGCCAGGCAATGACTCAGACCAAAGGACATTGTGAATCTTCCACAATGTCCATGTTAACATTCTTAGCTTAAATTGCCGATTTCTTGTTATCAGCTTTCTTGGCTTTTGGCTGTTGCTCCTCAGCTTTCTTCAACTTTCAGCTTTCTTCGACTTTCTTCGGTCTTCGAAGTGACAACTTTGGGTGGCGCTTCATAAATCCCTCAACAAAGTCACGACCAGCCATTTTATTATCAGAATTGAAATTGTTTTTAATATTGTTCTTTTGACAATAGTCATCGACAATGGCTCTGATGTCATTTATGGAAAGACCATAAAAAGCTTGATCCATGTCGATTATGTGGTCTTCAAGCTCTTTCTCTTGGTCATGGGTGAGAGTTGCACGATAACGCCCCAAAATATTTTTATGTTTCTCCTCTGCGGATAAACTTTTCAGCTTACCTTTCACTCGGCGATTCAGTGAATCCTTGGGAACCCCAAAGACAACGGCAGCTTTTCTTATGGACAGCTCTTTGTTTTCTACTGCCAAGATAGCAAGCTTCATTTGCTCCTCTGACCAATTTGCCCGGTTAGTCTTCCGTTTGTAGTTTCGAACCATTCTAAAAATAATAATAATAAGTCTATTTAAGTACCTTGTCAACTGATGGCGTCAGAACTGAGTGAGAAAACCCAACTGATGTGTACCCACAGATTAAATAAATAATAATTAATAAATAAATAAGCAGATTATTTTTAGATTGACATAAAATCTATACATACTAGTAATTTTTTATTTAATTTTTATTAAATTTTGAATTGTTTGAGCAATGATGCACATAATATATGTAGGGTAGAAAGATGGCAATACAAACATTCACTGCATTATTAAAACACCACTTTGAGACATGAATATACATGCTGTAATGTCTCGATCAATTCCATGGTTGCCCCCCCCCGGCGTTTGTCGGGTATTCTTAACTGTACTTGTTCCCAGGGTCGGGCATTTGCTTTGCAGGTTAGCCCCGGGGTGGGTAATTTGCGTGAGGCTAAAAAGTCGAATATTTATCGCTTGTTTCGCCATTTATTCATACTTTAGTATGCATGTTTACATGTGTGTGTGTATTGCAAATTAATCAGAGCTGCCAAGTCTCACGGTTTACCTGCGAGTCTCCAGGTTTACGTGCTGACCTCCAGGTCTCACGGTGGGTCTTGAAAATCTCACAGAATTCCATTAAAATGGTCCTTTATGCATGGATTCTGCATCTATGCTCTGGAAAAAATACAATTTGTGAAAATACCGTCTGTTCTTTCAAAAGAAAATTCGTACGTATTTGTAAAATGACACTCTTGTTCAAAATTATAGTGGCTATTAGCCTATTAGATTTTGTGATCTTGAAGTATCACGTAATCTAAACGTGAATTATGTGTGTGCGCGGGCTTATTTTTTATTACACATGCATTATGGCAATCGTTCCCCAAGCATGGCCAGTCAACAATAATATAAAGTCAACAATTTATACATAATTTGATTAATAATTGTCTGCGCTGCTCTGTCTGGCTATATATATCAGTATGTATTAAAAATGAAATAACATATATATCACTATTATCACATATATCGCTGTCAGGGGGCGGGGGTACGAACTACGAACTAAAGGCCCCAACAACCTCCAGGTTTTTAATCATCTGAACTTGGCAGCTCTGAATTAATCATGGCGGACATTAGGGACATACACACAAAGACTTTTTTCTTGTCCATCCTGTTGATACATTGACTTACTTCCACAGTTTGATATTGCTATATAAAGTTTTGAGACTTCAATATTTTAATTAAAAACGTTTTGAAATGAATGGCTACAGAATCGATTTTAAATACATATATATTGATACGTGATAGAGCTTGCATTTGATTTTTGGGATCAGAAATCCTCAGAAAACTTATATTTTGTCCCCTAAGGATGCCAAAATGACAAAAGCCCAACAAACGCCCAGGAGGGGGGGGGGGGGGGAATTTATTGAGACATAATACCCCTATGTTACCTATACACTATATATACTGATTACAACATTACAACAGATAATGTCCATAAGCAAACACAAGTGTATAGCCTTGTAAGAAAATCGGCCTGTCTCAAAATGATAAAAATTTATAAGAGCAACATGAAAGGCCAAATGTTTTTGTATACAAAACAAATGGAGTATATTTATTAGCTGCGGTATTTTAGACAGAATAAAAAACTATCTAAATATGCTGAGTAATAACATACCTCAATTTCGGGACGCCAACTTCAGTGCAATCCAAAATAATTGATTTTTTATCGCTGTGAAATAGCTTTGAGCCTCAAACCACGTTGAATAATGAATATAAACTTCGAAAAATGCTTGTTTATGAGCCCGTAATGATTGTGATAAAAAACCTGCGGTAATACGCCGAAAACTACTATTGTATAATCAGAACAGCTGGGAATTTGTTGTCGCTGTGCAGAGAAATTGCTGGCGCACGCGATATTTTACAAAAATTCGAAATTTTGAAAAAAACAACATGAGTGAAATTTCAACTGATGATTTTGCATTTTTAAGACGGCGATCAAGGAAATTAAATTCTAGGAAAAACTTCACTAACATCTCAAGTATGGAAAGCATCTACATTATCAGCATTTTAATTTTGGATTGATTCAAAATTCAGGCGATAAAGTTACATAGCTAGGAGTTGGCTTTTGTGCTCTTCGAATGTCCATTTTCATTCGCGGATTACCACAATTTGTTGGTCTCATGGGTGCCAAAATCGACATAAACGTAAACCGGTAACCAAGAGCTATAAAACAAATAGTTTTTCAAAACGATAAACTTTATTCAGTCAAAAGGATGAGGGTAAATAAACATGCTACTGCGTGATGGTGATTTTGAAGCAACTTTATCACATATATTTTAAAAGTGGGATAATGAATCAAATTTTGCTTTTTTCAATCCCAAAAAGGTATGAAAATTATTTAAATATTTAAGGTTTCCGTGTTTATAATGTATTTTTTGAGAAAAGTAAACATTTTTCCGATAAAAAAGCATAGTTTCTGCAGAAAACTGTTTTTTGAGGTAGAATATCCTGGAAGAGGGGGTGTAGAAGTGTGGGCGGATAGCAAAAAACTTTGACGATTTCACCAAAAATTTAATGCCAAATTTTGTTTTGCCTTAGTTTGATATGTAATTTAAACAAGTTTTTTTACATCTAAAAATTGCCCCTCGTGATCAAAACTTGGATTATGTTCGCAGTATTGTCTATTTGTTTACTTCTGGAGATCA